GTCTCGGGAAACAGGTCTGGAAAAGTGCAGGTCTGACCGTGGGCCAGCTGGACACAGGCCACCTTGTAATCTGGCTTCTTGATCCCCACATTTCTATGGTCCCTCTTGCGATTGGAGCCATGCTGCACCCACGTCCGCACAGCAGCCACAGGCACACTGTAAATGCATTCGAGATAGTTCCTGAGGTGCACCCTGGTCATCTCCATGGGGATCCGGAACTGCACAGTGTCTTCAGGCTGGGCCGTGCCAGGCCATACCAGCTTAATGAAGAAGTTGGTTCGAAATATGCGGAGCTGGGGCCACCAAGCTGGTACAAGGGGTACAGCACACTGCGCGCCATGGCAGTCGTGCCTCAGGCTGCAGGAAGGAGCAGCGCCCTTCAATGACCTTTAAATAAGGGTTCATCTAATATATTTTATATAGTCCTGCATAACTATCATTTTGAGAGCTTTTTATTGTTCATCCAGGAGCATACTGCAACTTCTCTTGCCTTTTGAATTATGCTCTTTGTTATTTCCTATATGCTACTTCAGGAGGTATTAAAATATTTCAAGTTTGTATAACTAGAAAATCTTTTAATTTTCAAAGGTATGTTTGCTAAGTATAAAATTCAAAAAGGACAGATCTTTTCTTTTAGTCCTTTAATTAGTCTAGTTTCTTACACACTTGGTCTTTTATTTTCTTTCTAATGTGGAATAAGATGCTATTTAATTTTGTTCTTCAGTAGCTAATATTTTTTATGTATATGCTTCAATGATTTTTTCTTTACAATAAGTTTTGGACAATTTCATTTTTGTGTATCTTGGTATAATTTTATTTAAATTTCTTGTGCAAAAGGTTCATTTTTCTTGGAATTGCAGTATTATAAGTTGAACTAAATTCAGAAATTTTAAATCTTTAAATATTTGTTGCCTACTCCTTTCTACTCTGAGAATTCTAATTATATGAATATAAGTTTCTTGGTTTTGACACAGTGAATTATTATGACTGATCTGTAAATTTTCCATTTTTATTTGGGACAATTTTTATTGTTATATTCATTTATGCTTGTAAATAATTTATTTTCAATTTGCAATCTATTAAAAATTTTTTTTAAAAAGTCTGGACTATATGACTCCTTCTCTGAAGGCACAAGCTATAAAATAAATTTGTTCAACAAATTCTTTATTCACAGCCTTTTCAGCAGCCTGGAGCTCATATACCGGAAGACAGAAAACAAATAGGTAAGGTATAGTGTATGCCTGGCAACCACAAATATGCAGGAAAAAGTATCATTTCATGACATTATTCATGTTTTTGGACATTAAAGTTGACTGTTGATAATAAAGCATTTTTGAAGAACAGTGATTATGTGAACATGACTGTGTACAATTATTTACATTCCTCTTATTCTAAAAATAAAACTTAAGCAGATGGACTTAGCCCTGGGTTATTACCGAGTGGGGTCTTTAGTCTCAGATAGTATCTCGAGAAGTTCATCGTTTGACAGGAAAAAGAATCTGGGAAAGAAGAGACGTTTCTTTTCCAAATATTCGTTCAGTCCTTTAAGAATGAGTTCCAAAAGCTCATTACTTTTTTTCAGCTTTTCCAGCATTCTGTCAATCGTTACAACTGTCAGAACGTGTTTATTCTAAAAATGAAAGAAAAAACACTCAATTCAAAAACATTAGACAATAACTTTGCATATATTCATCTACCTGAGGCTTTACATTTTTAATCAAAGGAAGGATATGTAAATTCTAAGATGAACATTTGGTCTACCCAGCCTCCTAACCACTTGATACTGAGCCACGTTGTTGGAAACAGAGAGAACAAGAGATACAGAGACAGAGAAGCAGAGAGAGGCAGGCTCTGAGTGGAAGGGTGGACAAAAGAAAATGTGAGGTGTAGCTTCTGTCTCTCATTCTTTGAGAAGTACTCTAAAAATCATCAAAATTATTATTTTGAATACATTTTTAACAATAATAAATTAATAAACTACTTTTTTAATAACCACAGTTTGAAAAGTAACAAAATGTTATCACAGCTGGGGGGAAGCTTTCTACAGACTTCGTCAGCTGCAACCTGCAGAGCCACATCACCGTCTGCCCACCAGGGTGCAGCTCAAGCTGGCTCTTCCCAGAGTGCCCGCGACACTGTGCCAGCCAGATGCGGGGTCTGAGGCAATGCACGACACACAGTGCCACTGTGAGTGCTTGCTTCAAAGTGGTTTAAAAAAATCAGGAGCTTAGGAGCAAACAAGATAGCTCAGGGGACTAATGCACCTGTTTAGGCAAGCACAGGGACTTGGACTGCACGACCCACCAGCCCTGCCCCGAGGGCAGGATGAGTCTGCCAGAGTCCTGGCATGGTGGCGCACGCCTATAATCCCAGCGCTGGGGAGGCTGAAAGCAGGAGGACCACCATGAGTCTGAGCTGCGCAAGGACACCTTGCAACAACCAAATACATTAAAAAAAAAAAAAAAATCAAGAGCTTAGAAAGAGTTTTCTTTTGTGTTGCAGAGCTCAAAATAACAATTATAAAGACAGCTAATATTAAGAACTAATTTTTTAAAAATTTGTTTTGTTTTGTTTTTGATACAGGGCCTTGCTGGACTTGTAGTGATCCTCCTGACTCAGGCTCCCCAGTGCTGGGACTACAGGAGTGCCCCACCATGCCCAGTTTCTGTGGCCGGCACAGCATGCGGTACTGTGGATCGAACCTGGGTCACTGCGCTTGCCAGGCAGGTGCTTAGACCTCTGAGCTACCTCCCCAGCCCTAAGACCTCATTTTTTCATAAAAACAGAGTACACTGACTGCTCTGAAGATCTGTATACTAACCACTGGTTTATAAGAATCTTACTAAATATATATATTAGATATCTATTACAAATAGGTTTTAAATAGGATAGTCATATTAAAGTAGAAAGACATGTTAGCATGCTGTCTAGATACAGCTGAAATATATATATTCTTTTTAGTCAGGATCTCACTATGAAGTGCAGGTTGGCCTTGAACTCACAGCGATGCTCCTGTGTCAGCCGCCCAAGTGCTGAGCTTACACACGTGCACCACCCAGCTAAAGTTCTCTCTTCCTATTTCCTTTAATGCACAATTAACATCATCCAAGCCTATTCTTGGTCATATAATTCCAAACTCAGTGTTTACCATTAACAAAACTAAAGAAGTTCTTTACTAAGAAAGTTTTAAAATGCTTCCCAAAAGGCATTAAAATGCAATATAAATTTTAATAACCAAACCAAATAACAAATATGAAAAAACACTAGGTATTGATTAATATAGTAGGGCACTTTAGTAAATTTATGTGACATTAAAATAAGAGAAAATTATTTAAAATAAAAACTAATTTCAATAACAGCGAGTTAAGCTTATTTTCACATTCAGCTAAGACTGAAAGATCAACCAAAACTTTTAGTTGTAAATTGTTTCACATAAGAATTTTATTCTTGTGCTCGCTTCGGCCTCACATATACTAAAATTGGAACGATGCAGAGAAGATTAGCAAGGCCCCAGCGCAAGGATGACGCGCAAATTTGTGAAGCGTTCCATATTTTTATATTTAAACTTATAAATTTATAAAAATATAAATTTTTACATTTAAATATAAAAAATAATTGGATCACCATGAATCCAGTTTATAAAAATATAAATTTTTGTATTTAAACCTTTGACAAAAAAGGGGACTTAAATGAAGGACCATTTTGTATCTGTACATACAAAATAGTTAGGATAGACATACAGCTACTTTCTCTTAATTCTGTGAGAAGAAAGATTTGTACTAAGAGTGTTTGGACAGGATATCATGTCTGCATCTCGTACTATGAATAACCACTACGAAGACAACAATATGTAATGTACTTATTATTGAAACTGTCCTACTAATCAGTTTTGAAATTGTCTCACTGCTACTTGTTTCTCAATTAAATAAATAAATAAATGAACAGCAAAAAAACAAAACAAAACAAAACAATTTTATTCTTATTGCATGAATCTCTAAAACATTTTTATGTACTTTGAATATCCCCAAAAAGAAAAAGAAATAATTTCTTGCTTTGCTTTGAATTATAACAATGTAACTCAGAAATACAAAAATTTAATCACAGGGCAAAATAATTATCATTAATACCTATTTTCTCAATAAAAGAAGTATTTAACATATGCAATAAAATTAGATCAACTTACCTTTAGAACACAACTTGTTAAGGGTATTTTATTTGCTAAGTTTTATATTTCAAATAAACAGTGAATATACACACACGAAGACTCAAACTATAATTTTAAATGTGCAATTTAACCAATCCAATAGAGAAAACTTATATAAACGCAGATCCAAAAACGAAACTAGTGTTCCTCGAGCGCCATCTACTGGAAAAGTATATCTTTCTTTGTTTAAGAAAAAACTACATTGTCAATACAAGGAAAAAGACTTCACAAACAATAGATTTTATGTATTTAGTACAGGGTCTACAGGGTCTCACTACGTAGATCGGACTCATAGTGATCCTCCTGTTTTTAGTCTCCCAAACCCTGGGATTATAGCCGCTCACCACCATGCCCAGTCTGTCACTGTCGCAGCACGCCCCGGGGGCGGGGCCGACACAGCGCTCTAGGGATCGAATGCCAGTCTCCGAGTATGCCTAAACAGATGCTTTAATCTGCTGAGCTGTCTGGCTGGCCTGTATTTGTTTTATTCTTGCAAAAATAATTTTTTGCCATATTGCTGTTTTGATATCTAAAAGGTTAAACATTTAGTTTTAATGTTTAACAGGGCCGGCAAGATAGCTCACAGAGGCTGGGTTTGGTCCCTGGCACCACACACGGCACTGGCCCTGCCCCGGGGCACGCTGAGCCAGCGACCAGTCCAACGTGGTGCATGCCTGTAAACCCAGCGCTAGGGAGGCTGAAAACAGGAGGATCACCATGAATCCAATCTATGTAGTGAGAACCTGCACACACACACACACAAAATTCAGTTTTTAAAAACTCATATTTCCTTTGCTAAGTATAATTTTCAAACAAACTAAAAGACAGCATTCAAATAATTTCTTAGCAGTGGTAGCAGCAGCAGCAGCACTTCTTTGAAATACTTAGGATCAGAGTGTTTCAGATTTCAGAATCTTTGCGCTTTTGTAGCATTTTCCAGTTGAACACTATTAATCTGAAAAGGCACAACCCAGAACAAGAGCTGCAGATCTCCACCCCCAGCCCCTCAGGCACCCTCCGCACTCTCTCACTCTGAACTGGTGACCAGTGTTGGTCCACACACCCTGCGCCACCCAGCTCCTGCCCTGGGGCTGCCAACCGTGGACTGAGACCTCTGTAACCATGAGCACAGATTCACCTCTCTTCCTTTAAGCTGGTAATGGCAGTTACAAAAACCCAGGTAGATCAGATCTAAGAAAACGACATAAGTGCAGCTACCTCAGGCCCAGAAACTAAGCCCCCTTCCCAGTATTAAAGACCTCCTCATATGAGGAGAGGCACTCATTTCTGCGTTCTGTCCCACGCTCTGCTCCTTCCTGCCTGTGTGACCTTGGACCATTTGCTTAATCTCTTTAACTTTAAAATAGAGATAAGAGCTCCGAGCTGGGCTGAGAACCAAGCCAGATAACATATCTGAAGTGATTAACGTGGTTCCTGGGAGGCTGTCCTCTCTCTCCCTCCCTGCCCCAAATCAGCAGAGACAGATGGACAGACAGACAGAGAATGGGACACTTATATTGCCATACATGACAGCTATATCACGTCAACAGTTTTATGGCATTCAAACGAACATGTTATCATGGATGCAACCAGAGACTGCACTTGTAAGTGCAATAACTCAGAGCTGCACGGGCAAACATCGCATTGCCTCGCCCGTGCAAGAACGTGAGAGAGTAAGTAGGATCTGAAAGGACAGTAGATACTGTGAATGGGAAAGAATGTGCTCAAAGGGAAGGAACAAGTGGACTGAGGGAAAGGACAAAAGAAAGAAGGAAGGGAAAAGATATATCTGTGTGTATATATGCAGGGTGGCTTGGATAACTACTGCTCATTTCTGCTGGTCTATTGAAAGAAGTTCATGCTGAATTTTTTTCTTCTTTTTAATTTCTTATAACATTTTTAAAACCAATTTTGCATGCTTATATCTAGTAATCTAAACAAATAATTTGACGACAACATTACACAACAACCATTGTTCAATTCCTATTTTGTGTAGTGGAATTCTACATGTTTTTTTCAAACTATTTTGTATTCTCTTTAAAAAATGCACAAAACCACATGAACATCTTATAACCCGCCATCCATCAAGAAACATGTTGCCATCAGACCCTGGGACAGAACAGGCAATCCAAGAACACGTGCTGCAGAGTGCACACAGCCAAGGGAAGGCCTGCAGGTGCTCGAGGGAACTGTGCTGCTCTGCACTGCCACTGCCAGCTACTAATCAGCTATGTTCTCAGGAAACAACGATGAGATGCTAGAACATGAAGCTGCTTGTGATACCAAGACTTCATCGTCCACCTGACTGGCCTGAGGCCCACCTAGGGGTGAGCAGCTCACACTTCTGGGTGTGTCTGGGTGGGCTATGGGGGTGAGACTTCAGGTTCTACCTTTCTTTTCTTTTCTTTCTGTACCAGGGATCAAAC